CAGGGATCAAATGCCCATCTTTTTTTCTTAGAAAATGATCATGTTGCTTTTGGTTGTGAGGTGCCTTGAGGGCACAGGCATCCCTTGTGATGGGGTAGAGCTGCCCCGTGGGTTTGATTGGCTCTCACCTTTGATGGGGCCCTTGGGGGTGCAGTGGGTTATGTGTTGACGAGGCACAAGGTTGGTGGTTCAAATGCACCAGCCGCTCCGTGTGATTCAGATGAGCCTTTCTGCTTCCGTAAGGACGCTCAGCCCCCCAAGCCCACAGGGGACCGTTCGACTCTGCCCTGTGGGGTCTCTAGGAGTCGGAATTGAGTCATGGCAGTGCGTGCGGGTCTTTTGTGGGACTAGCTCTCCAGGGGTTTGCTCCCGGAGCATCACGGAGTGAGCTGGCTCCTCTGTATCTGCTTGTCACTTTCTATGGTGTTGTTAGTGGCCCAGGTACAGAGGAGAGCTCCACTGGGTTCTCAAGGTGTGACATTTTGTAAGTCGATTTCTAGACCCTTCTCCTGAAGTGCCTCTGGGTGGGTTCACATTAGTTGACACTCAACTGTTTTTATCACCCAGAAAAATCCCCTCACTGCCATTGACTCGCTCGATTCTGACCCGCAGCCACCCTAGCAAACAGAGTAGCGCTTCCCCTGTGGGTTTCTAAGACAGTGACTCTTCGCGGAGTAGAAAGCCTAGTCTTTCTCCCAAGGAGCGGCTGGTAGTTTTCAACCGGCGACCTCGGGGTTAGTGGGCCAATGCATAACCGCCACGCCACTAGCGCTCTTCCATCAATGCCACCCAAGCACGTACTCAGCGGAAGGGACATTGATCTTGTTTTCTATTCTGGAATGCAATCCCACACAGAATGTTTCAGAAATGCCACCAAACAGCAGAGACGCATCCAATTTCTTCGAAACGAATGTCCGTCACATAGAACTTGCCCTTCGATGTTCTCTGCAGTGTCCACAGCACTCGTTGGCAGGCGGGAGCACCCTTCCCACGTGACAGAGGGAAGCACTGAGGAACACAGGCATCGGCGTTCGTGATCTGCACGTGAGCCTGCTTTTCTGATCTCAAGGTAAGCGTTCACGCAACCCCATGACCCTGATTCTTTCCCCGTCAACAGCCACCAGGGGTCGAACAGAACGGACTGCGGTTCACACGGAAGTAAATAACCCACACAAGTGGCAAGACCTATTTGAGGAGGGGGTTTAGGGTAAGATCATGGGGTTGGGGGTGGGGGCGGGGGAGAGTTTGACAAGTAGCTTACACTGTTGGATAACAAAATTGATGACCTGAAATGTAAACCAATTCACAATAAACTAAAGAAGATTCCTGAGATTTCTGGGCAACACCGTCTCCCATCCGTTAACTGCCTTTGCCTGGAAATCCAATGTCCATCCACTCCGCACTGAGCACGTGTGCATGGCGTGCCTCACATATGCCAGGAAGAATGCTCCCGGCTAGATTCTGAGGAGACGAAGTCTCTGTCCCCGTGAGACGCAAAGAGCCAGAGGAGAGACAACGGAGAAGGCAAGCCAACTGCAAATCGTTAAAAGTAGTAAGTATTGGGAGGAAGTGATGTTGGGAAGTCATCGTAAC